GTGGGGCCCGCGATTTTAAAAATCGCGAGTCCCATCCCCAATGTGAGGGAACTATCAACTTGAGTGTACACACTTTTGTGTATAAAATTTTAACTTTATATACAAACTTATTTTTTATTAAAAGAACGTGTAATTAAAAATAATTGAGAAAAAATGAGTTTAGAAAATAATCAGACAATCTTTACTCAACCATAAATAAAAATGAGCAAAACCCGTATTCCAATCGGTTAGATCTAGGGGTGGGTAAAACCTGCCCAACTCGCTCAAACCGCCTAAATCGACCCGAACATACCGGTTTGGATCTGTTTTTTTTTTTAATTTTTTTGGTTGGATTCGATTTTTGGTGATCTTGGCGGGACGGGTTTGGTCGGGTCATGAGTTGGTCCAAAAAATTGTCCAAAGGCGCCTGACCCGACCCGCCAAGAAAACAAAAGAATATAAGGGTTATTACTTAGGTTGTGTTTGAGTTAGTAGATTGATAGAGAATGTGTGATTAAAAAAGAAGGAAAATTTATTAATGCGATGAAAAATATTATTTTATTGAAAAACGTGTGATTGAAAATGAGTTGAAGAATGATAATGGAAATTTCGGTGTGTACCAAAAAGGGCTCGTAGAACCGTGGCTCCTCTCCTGTGACCAAAGGTCCTTCTCTCCCGCTAAAATCGTCGACGGCGCTGGTCACCGACTTACCGGACATCCTGAATTAGAAAACCCACAAACCAGGTAAGGTGGAACCTTATATGTCGAGCGCTTGTGTGTTTTGCCGTTTGTGTAGTGTACTGTTTATTACTAGTGTTTTGCCGTTTGTGTGTTTGTCTATTACTAGTGTAAGAAGGGATTATGGCTTAATCCCTAACATTTAAGATTAATTTGATGAAATTTCTAGGGTTCAACGGAATAAAGGAAGGAAACATGGAATTTCTGATTTTTTACAAGATTCATTAATATTTCCTTTTTGTGTTGGTACTAATGCTGGTGAAAACATAATTTGTTTGTTGTTGTTTGATATTTGGAAATTGGAGTCAAAACATAAGGGGCAGAGACTGCATTATCTTTAAGCAGATGGAATCAGGTGCAAAGATGGAAAGATGGATTAATATAGAACTTAGTTCTGTTAACATGTATACATTCTGTAAATGCTGTCATATATGTTGTGTGTTATCAAATATGTTGTTCTCATCCCATGCTTTTGATAAGAAGAACTAAGGCTCTTCAAAGAAGATAATTATCTAAATAAAGCTTGATCAAAATCAAACTTACAGGGGCTGGTGAAAGAAAGAAAACCATTGAAATTTACTATTTTATATTTGAAATTTATTGATATTGGAAGACTATTAATTTTGCTTTATATTCAGTAAAAAAAAATCAGTATTTTGAGACTTTAATATTTGTTGACCGGTTGTTCCAACCCGACTAACCCGACCCGACCGACGTTGGGTTGGGTTTCAATCTTTACGTGGGTTGTGTTGAATTTCAATCAAACTGATCGTGTTGGGTTGGGTTTGGATTGGGGCAAAAACCGAGCCAACCCAACCCAACCCACGCCCACCCCTAGTTAGATCCTTTCGTAAAATTGACAAAGTATAGTGGGTTCGGGTCACCTACCAGGAATGACGGGTCTTCCCTTTTAAATCCTCTCTTCCGGTGAAAGCAGTTCAGTCTTCTGCCTCTCCTCTCTCTCTCTCTCTCTCTCACACGCGCGCGCGTGCGGGGATGCAGAAACATACACCACGCTCAGGTGGAGCGACGAATGGTATAAACACGTAACGCCCTAATTACACGCGCTCTTTCGCCTTTTGTATATCTCCTTACAAATGTATTATCAACTCGCATGCCCTTTGTGACATGGGCTGAGCCGGGTCGGGTTTGAAGAACAGACACCCTGGAAAACCCAGCCACTGTTAATTGAAAACTGAGACTTTAAGGTCTAAGGACATATAGTACTGTTCAAAAACCCCAGTTTTGAAAAACCCCTGAAACATAAATCTTAACCCTCCTTAGGAATTTTGTTTCTAATTTGAGGTTTTTAATTTCCTATTTTGGTTTATTTGTCATAAGCTAATTCTTTCCTGACTATTTATCTAGAAATGTTAATGAAT